ATTTCCATGGTGTATCCGAGTCAAAATGCTGGATATTAGCGAAGCGGCTGCTAGGCGGATCGGCGAAGGCGTACATCGACCATGTGGCGCCTTTGACTTGGCAATTGATGCGAGCAGAATTGCTCAACGTCTTTGAGCAGAAAGTGACAGCGTGGGACATTGGAAAGCGACTGGAGGCACGGAAAATTGCAAATAATGAAAGCGCATTGCAATATTTCGTCGCAATGTGCAGCATAGCGTCGCAAGCAGACATGGCCACGAGCGATGTGGTCAAATTCATCGTAGAGGGACTGCAGGACAAGACGGGCATGGCAGCATCCATGCTATACTGCATCACACTCAACGAGTTGCGTGACAAGATGGTCACCTATGATAAGGTCAGAAGAGCTCCTGGCGTCGTAGCAATTCGTAGCGAAGGTATGACAAAGGGAAAACTAAATGTGAGTATGGCAGTTGGGCAGCAGCAAGGTGGTGGCGCAATGCGTTGCTACAACTGTCGGCAATTTGGGCACGTTATGAAGGAATGCAGTCAGCCAAAGAGACCGGATGGTGCATGTTTTAACTGTTGGAGTACCAGCCACCTATATTCGCAGTGCCCGAAACGAAAGATGGCCACTAGGGTAGCTGCAGTTCAAGATGAGGAGCGACCAGGAGAAAAAAACAACACCGATTTAGCGGCTGTCCAGTTAATCACTTTATGACTTCCGTTTGGTGAACAAAGAGGCGTCAGTATTTTTAGTCTATTTGATACAGGTAGCCCTGTAAGTTTTATTCATAAGTCTTTGATACCGAAGTCGGCTATAGTTGAAGCCTATAATGAAGTTAGGAAATACTATGGACTAGGAGGACAACCAATTCCCATATGGGGAAAATTTAAGTGCCATATTGAATTTTGCACAAAGAAATATATCGTTTTATTAAACATCGTAGATGATAACATGCTGCCTTTGCCGGTATTGTTGGGACGCGATGCCCTTAAAGTTATTGAAGTAAAATTAGTTCATAAGAAAAATATCAATGCGAAGCAACACACACCATTAAGTTCGTTAAAGCAAAAAGCTATTAGTTTAACCTGCGCGTCTTTATTCACCGAAAGTAAAAATAATATTAACATAAGACTATATGATAAGTTAGACGGTAATCAATCAGAAAGAAGCGAGCTAATCAAACGTTCTAATCCATTTAAAAATCAGACACAAGAAAACTCAAGGAATGACAAAATGGTCATCGAGAATATGAATCAAGGCGACGAATTCAGTAACTTTTGTGCGTCGGTAGAGATTGATGAAGAGGAACATATTAACGTAGGTTTCGAATTTGGCCCCACTATTGCAGAAAAGTGTAGGGAAGTTATTAAGACATACTATTTACACAAAGAATTTGACTTTAAAGCACCACCAAAGTATCAGATGCAGATTCGTGTAACAGAAACAACACCATTTCATTGTACTCCGCGTCGTTTATCCTACCATGAGAGAGAGAAAGTAGCTGAAATAGTAGATGATCTGTTAGAAAAGAAAGTAATCCGTCATAGTGAGTCTCCTTATGCTTCCCCGTTGGTCCTAGTAAAAAAAAAATCAGGAGAACTTCGAATGTGTGTCGATTACCGTGGTCTGAACAAACGAATTGTTAAAGATAATTTCCCATTGCCCCTTATTGAGGACTGTCTTGAGTTTTTAGAAAACAAGTGCTGTTTTTCCATTATAGATTTGAAAAGTGGGTATCATCAAATAGGCGTAGAAGAAAAATCAGTTCCGTATACATCGTTTGTGACACCGCAAGGACAGTATGAGTACTTGAGAATGCCCTTTGGGTTAAAAAATGGATCCGCTATTTTTCAAAGATTTATTTCGGAGCTCTTGAGAGACTTTATTAGGAACAAAAGCATTGTAGTGTACATGGATGATATATTAGTAGCGACTAAAACAGTTGAAGAACACATGGATATATTAAAAAGACTATGCATTCGGTTTAGCGAGCAAAATTTAGAGATAAATCTAAAAAAGTGTAGGTTTGTCAATCGAAACATCGATTTCCTGGGGTATAAAGTTAATCAAAACGGAATAGTTCCTAGTGATTCCCATATTGAGGCCTTGAAAAAATACCCAGTCCCTCAAAATGTAAAAGCACTGCACTCATGCTTGGGATTCTTTTCGTATTTTCGACGTTTCATGTTGTCATTTGCGACGACAGCTAAGCCCTTGGTGCAGTTGTTAAAAGAAGGTGGTCCGTTTCCCATGAATAGAGAACAGGTGAAGACGTTTGAAACTCTTAAGAAAACGTTGGCAAATCCTCCGGTATTAGCCATTTTTAGCCCAAATAGAGAAACGGAATTACATACAGACGCAAGTTCATATGGCTATGGCGCAATACTGATGCAAAGACAAGATGATGGGAAGATGCACCCTGTGTCCTATTATTCTGGCAAAACAACAGAAAGAGAATCACGTTATCATAGTTTCGAACTAGAGACATTGGCTATAATTTATGCATTGAGGCGTTTTAGAGCATATTTGGAGCATAGGTCCTTCAAAATAATCACGGATTGTAATTCGTTAGTACAGACGTTAACCAGAAAGTCAATTAGTCCTAAGATAGCACGGTGGTCCCTAGAGTTAGAGAACTATGATTACTCCATTATGCACAGACCTGGGGCCAGTATGTCGCACGTTGATGCGCTGAGCAGACAAGATCAAGTGACGAATATGTTAGAGGATGGTTATAGAGTCAAATACGGTTTAGAAAAGTCTAATTTAGAAAAAGATGAGAGTAGAAAGCAATATACAAGGAATAGTGTAAGTAGAGACAACCCTGGTAGTGAGCATAGAGGTACCGTAGAGAACCCTGTGATTAAGTGTAGAGAATTAAATATCAGTAGAGAGCGTAGTAGTACAGTAGAGAACCCTGCGATTGAGTGTGGAGAATCAAGTGCAGTAGGAAGTAGATTGGGAAATAGGTGGAAGTCTGATGATAGAGAGAACCTTGGTAGTGATTGTAGAGATAACATAGAGAATAGTGAATATAGGGAAGAGGATGGATCGAAGATTGAAATTAGAGATTTGAGCCAATGTAGAGGAAGCGTTAACGATGTGGTGGGGGGAGTAAAGTACATTAGTAGTAGGAATTCAGATAAAGTGAAAAAATGTGTTGAGGATACAGTAGAGAGGGACAAGTTAGAGTTTCAGGAGGAAAGATTACTAAAATCATTGATAGTTGGGGTAGTAGGTGCAACGCCAGAAGATGTTGATTTGATATTGCAAACAGAACAGATGCGAGACAAGGAAGTAGTTAGGATTCGAAAAATGCTAGAGGATGGAATTGAAGTAGATTTTGAAATGATAGATGGTATTGTTTACAAGAGGAGTTGTGAAAACAAACTATGTTTCTATGTACCAATGTGTATGGAAGAGCAGTTGATAAGGCGGTCACACGAAAAACTAGGACATCTGGCCGCAGAGAAGTGCGTGAGTGACCTTTTGAGGACCTACTGGTTTCCGTCAATGTCGAGTACATTGGTATTTCTTATAATACTATCGATGAGTAAATCTTAAACTAATATTCAAATCTTATAAACTGATATTCATATCTTACATTCGGGCAACCTGACTACAGATCGCCCACGATCTACACACTAAGGCATACAGTTGGTTAAACATTTCTTATTCGGTATTGTCTTACTTAACATACTATTTCATCGATTAACAACATGAGACCATGGTTTTATCCTTACACTCTACCCAGGGTTTAAGCCTTGCTGGTTCTAGTATACTTCGGAATGGCATTTGCGTCAACTGACAGTCCTCAATGTCGACAACCTCATAACGATCATTATCCAACACTCTATTGATCCTGTACGGTCCTCGATACTTTGGTGCGAACTTCTTATTGATCCCAGGTGTTGTGTCCACATGCCGGACTGCTACATAGTCACCAGGTTCATACTTTAATGTGGCTCTATGTTTATGGGCTCTCATTTCTTTTCTGCGACAACCGTATGTTCTCACTTGCTATTTCTCTTATAGTTTCCAACTCTCTAAGTTCTGACGCTAACTTCTCCTCTAGGTATTCGGTTAATTCATCTACAACGGGTCCTTTCTGGGGTATTCCAAATAACAATGTGCTAGGTGTCTTTTTCGTACTGCTGTTAACGGAGTTATTAATGGCGTGCTCTACCTTGCTCATCAACCTATACCAATCGGCTTGCTCAAGGGGCTCTGACAGTTTTCCTAACATAGGAGTAAGAACACGATTCACCCGCTCCACTTGGCCATTCGCCTGCGGTGCACCTGTAGCTACCTTAATGTGCTCTATCCCTCTCTCCTGCAGAAAACTAGAGAACTCTAACGAGGTGAAACAGGTCCCACGATCTGATATTATCCTAGTAGGGCGACTATAGAAATCAAAATATTTACTTAAGGCATCCTTCGCTTCCCGCGTGCTGGTACTATTAACCGGGAACAATTTGACAAACTTAGTGAATGCATCTATTACCACAAGGAGGTGTTTTCGCTTAGATCTAATACTCGGCAATGGACCCAAATGATCAACATGTAGGGTATGAAAAGGAACACACGACTTTGGGATACTATGGAGCATTCTGTTATGGATTGTTTTAGGCATCGAGTGTAGTATACACGGTAGACAGTTTCTGATGAACCTTGTCGAGGACAAGTATCGATATGCCAACACACATTCATTCATATACGACGATCAAGAAAGAAGAACATATAATAAAAACCGTGCGATTAAAAGTTTACAGTATGCAGCATTTATAAAGGAGTACCTTGACTTAGGCCATATGCCTCAGGTTCCTACCCAGTCAATCAGCAACTGCCGATATTTTTTGCCTCACCATTGCGTCATGAAGGAAGATAGTTCTACGACCAAGATTCGCGTCGTTTTTGATGGATCCGCTTCAACCTCATCTGGATATTCCCTGAACGACTTTTTAATGGCTGGTCCCGTAATCCAACCCAAACTGTTTGCGCTACTATACCTCCATGGAGGAGGTCACCATGGTGCGGGTGTGGCGTGAGTTTCTCGACCTGATACCCTCGTACAGCGAGAATCTGCCCATCTTTCGGGACATTTCACACAGCATGCAGCAATGCGGCATTCGGCTGAACAAACAAGAGGTTCGCCGTCGCATCAATAGCTATCGCAATAAGTATTTAACGGAACGGAGTCGCGTGGAGGGCGATCCGGAGTACACACCGGAATGGCGTCTGTACCAGATTGTAGACTGCCTTTTCAATCCAGAGCGACCCTCGGTGGACATTCACCTGGTACAGAATGTGCTCGAGTCGGCGGCCATGCAGGTGCGCAGCGAGCATCCGGATCTGCCGAACATACCTAGCTCAATGTCCAGGGCACCTTATGTGAAGTTCAATCGCGATCCGGACGGCTGTGCCTTCCTGGAGGGCCCATCACCAACACCGCCGCAACAGACCCAAAATTTTCCCGAAATGCTGCACTTTTCTCAGAATCCAGTCAAGACTGAACCCAAGCCGCTTGAGGCGGACGAAGCCGACAGTCCAACTTACGCAGAGAGTGCCATACGACGGACACCCTTGATGCCCGCCAATTATCAGCTCCAGCTACCCGTGGAGGAGCGCATGGAGATGGGGGCGAACGGTCAGATGGAGTACGTTGGAAAGAAAAAGCGCGGACGACGCAGCATTTTGCCGCGCGTGGGACAGATCTCGCTGGCCCAATTAGAGGCCTTGCGCATGCAGAACGGAGAGCTGGAGCGGCAGAATGAGAACAGCCAGATGGAGTTGGAGTTCAAGGAGCGGCAATACAACGAGCTAGAGCAGACCCTCGACCTCTGGATGCACCAGCAAGAGATGTTTTTGCTCCACTTTGAGCGCCTGGGCTTCAAAACCGCGGAGGACTAGCCTCCCCTTTCAAACCCCTCTTCGTTGATCTATTGAATAGTTAGCTTTAATTGTGGGAAAAAAAACTCCAGCTCATACGATGTACAAACCACCTTATAGGCTATAGCGAACCGAAGATACATTTACGGTCTAATTTTTTGGATCAGTTTTTTTGTCATTTAAGAACTAGTCAAAATGAATTGACAGCTAAACTACTTATAGAAGAGATTTCTGGAACTTTTAGTTTAATTTTCAGTTCAATAACTAATACTTAAGCTCTAAACAATTTGCAGGAAGCAAAATACATATGTTTTAAGTTCATTTTTGATTCGCTTGAAATTTAAGCAATGAAGAAGTTGGAAAATGATATTCTTTCTCGATTTCGGTCATACGCCGTTGCAATTACGGGAGATATCTGTAAGATGTATGGTTGTGTAAGAGTCTCGACCGAGGATAGCAACTTGCAGTGTATTCTGTGGAGAAACTCCAAGGAAGAAGACTTGCGTGTGTTTCAATTGGACACCGTTAATTATGGGACGAAGCCTGCCTCCTATCTATCTGTGCGAGCGATGCATCAGTTGGCAATGGACGAGCAGATGGCGTTTCCAGGTGGAGCTGAAATCCTTCGCCGTGACTTCTACGTGGATGACTTGATATCTGGAGCCAGCTCGCAGGAGGAGGCTATCCGAATTCGGGAGCAAACTACAGGAATTTTGTCTAGAGGTCAGTTCAGATTGAGGAAATGGTGTTCGAACGTTCCTGCTGTGCTGGATGGAGTTCCGGAAGAGGACAAGGAAACATTTTTGAAGATCAACGATGGCAGCCATGTGACTAAAACTTTAGGACTTGCGTGGGATCCGGTTTCTGATCTACTATTATTTTCGTTCTCGGGCCTTCAATCTTCGATTGAATTTCCTCGGCTTGTACTCCTTCCAGGCTCTACGCTGGAAATTCACGGATTTTGCGATGCCAGCATCGAGGCTTATGGTGCAAGTTAACGTACCCAATTCTATTGAGCTCTTATACGAGTTGTAAACAATCTTTGGCTTTCCAAAACAAAAACAACTTCAATCTTGGGCCTCCGCCTAATTGATTTCTAAGATGTACAATCTCAAGCGTAGTAAAAATTAAGATCGCGCAATGCCTTGGCCCGGAATTCCTTTGTGACCCTCTACTTAAATCTATATCAGTGAAGTTCGAAGTAAAATAAAAACTTTTTAAAAACACAATCCGCTACCGCAGTTATTTAATTGGCGCCCAACGTGGGGCGACGTTGTATAAAAAGCACCGAATAATAAAAGTGTTGCGTCGTGCCGAAACCCGAAGGACAATTAATTAATGGAATAAATCCTTCAAATTTAAAAACGCGGAGTGACTGTGTGATATAAGATAAAAAAAAGTGAGATAAAAAGGAAACAAACGGGAGCTTAGGGTATGCAAAAATAAATACAATATACAATACAAATACAAATACAATACAAAATACAAATAAATACAAAAGCTAATCAAGACAATTCAAAAATACAAAAAAACCAAAAAAACCCAAAGTCTTTAAACAAAACCAACCAAAACAAAACACAAAGAAAGTGAAACTATCAGCTAAACCAAAGAAGGAAGACCCCCAGAAGACCCAGTTAAACAAAGAAATTTAAGAAGGAAGACCCGTTCGAAGACCTGTCAGCCAAATCAAGAAGGAAGACCCGTTCGAAGATCTGTCAGCCAAACTAAGAAGGACGACCCCTACCGGATAGTTCGTTAGCAAAAGTTGTATTAATAAATATATAAGTTCAATTAGGTTATATTAGATTATAAAAACAAACATATAAGAAAAATTAAGGTGGATCAACTAACTTTAGATTTTGAAAAACTAAAAATGATTAACTCACAAACAAGGACCGATCTCACTGCAGATCTGGTCAAACAATTAATAGCACTTCAAATTTCACAAGTACAGGAGCAAATTGTAAATTTAAAACAACAAATAGAAACTAAATCCGATCAGGTATCAGATTATCAGGCAGAAACATTAGACGAGACAATAAAAGATGACACCACATTAAAGGTAATAGAATCCCTACCAATTTTCAATGGTGGATTAAACCAATACGTAGGATGGAGGGAAGCTGCAGAAACTGCAGTGAAGTTATATAAGAAAGGAAGTAAGCAATATTGCATTAACAATTTTGAGAAACAAAATAACAGGACCAGCACATGACGCACTGACCAACCACGGGACAGTTTTAAATTTTGATGCCATACTTTCACGACTTGACTTTGTTTACAGTGACAAGAGACCAATTTACATAATAGAACAGGAGTTAAGCGTTCTCCGACAAGGGAACCTTTCAATTATAGATTTCTATAACGAGGTTAACAAGAAAATGACCTTGTTAATAAATAAGACAATAATGACTCACGGAAAGGACAGTGAAATCACCAAAGAATCAAATAAAAAAATTAGAGACAATGCCTTACGCATTTTTGTCACTGGCCTAAACGGCGGTATTGCAGAAATCCTATTTTCATTGAATCCCCCAGATTTACCGAATGCCTTGGCAAAGGTACAGGAGTTGCAACCTAATAACATTCGGGCCCAATTTGCCTACCAATTCAGCGGTCCCAGAAATTCAGGGAATAATAATTACAATACCTTAAGATTCAACCAACGACAACCTAGGACTAACAGTTCACCATTCGACCAAAAAAGGGATTTTCAGAGGAATAACATGTCTTGGGGACAAACCTATTTCTTGGGTAATAGACAACAAAATCAGGCCCCAGAACCAATGGATGTAGACGAATCGATACAAATCCGGAACCGACAGAACAGCAATCAATTCAGGGGAAATAATAACAGTAGAAATTATCGGGAGAATACTAACGGTTATTATAGGAGAAATAATAACAATTATAACCAAGCTCAGCATTTTAGGGCAAACGTAGTACCGAATAATCAGTATAACGACAATCAAGCGCAGAAACGAAAGCCAAACGAAATGTCGGAACAACCGGCTAATAAAGCAATGAGGATAATTAACATTGAGGAGGATCATTTTTTAGATCAGCCCCCGAAGTAGGACTGCCCTACTTAAAAAGAGTAGATAAAAAAATAAACAGAGAATTAAAAGTTTTGATAGATACGGTAGCAACTTCCTGTTATATAAAAAAGGGAATTTACGAAAATAAAAAAGAATTATCTATTTATAAGAAAGTTGCTACAGTGAATGGGTTTTCAATAATTAAATATTTCCATAATATAACTATTTTCAACACAAAACAAGTGTTTTATGAAATAGATGGAATGGAGGCAGATTTACTAATAGGTTTTAACCTATTAAAGAAAATCGGAGCTGTTATTGATACAGGAAAGGGGACTTTAAGTTATAAAGACAATGAGGAGAAACTAATATATGACGAGGTCCTTTCTTTAAACAAATTAACATTTATAGAAGGAAAAACCATCCTTCCGTTGAAGGAATATATAATAAAAAAATATTTTGAAGAAGAAAAAGAAATGAAAAGTGATTCAGTAAAGGTAGAAGGAAGTTTATATAGCTTGGGATCAAAAAATCCTGAGCACGCCGACGAAGAATTATCCGTCAATAGTTTGGGATTCAAATATCCTGAACCTGCCGTCGTTAAATTATCCGACATCCAAAGTTTTAATAGTTTGGGATTAAAATATCCTGAGCACGCCGTCGTTGAATTATCCGACATTAAAAGTTCGAATAGTTTGGGATTAAAGAATCCTGAACACGCCGTCGTTGAATTATCCGACAATGAACAATTTAAAAGTTTGAGATGCAAAAATCCTGAACGCGCCGTCGTAGAAATATCCGAAATTCATAATTATGCAAATTCTGAATTGAAAAAAATGAAATTGTATAACACAATAACCTACAAAGAGGACAATTTAGAAAATCTAAGAGAGAAAATGGTATCTATCATCGAAGAAGACCATGCCAATATAAATTTACAGTTACCGTTCAGAACGGATATAAAAGGAGAGATTAACACTGAACATGATAGACCGGTATATGGCAAGCAGTATCCATACGCTTATTCGGTTAACGATTTCGTTAATAACGAAATAAGTAAAATGTTAGATGAAGGTATAATCAGACCTAGTAAAAGCCCATATAATTCACCGGTAATAGTAGTACCAAAGAAGGGAGTAAATGAGGACGGAACTCCTAAACATAGATTAGTAATAGACTTTAAGAAACTTAATGAAAACACTGTTCGGGCCAGCCGCTGAGGAATAACCGTAACTTTAACATTATTATTGTAAGAGCAGAGAGAGCCGCCTATGTTGTAAGACGTTGACGTTCTGCAGAGCTGCTGCGCTCTCCCGCTAAAGGGGCTCTCTGCCGCCGCCACTTCGGCAATTACTTTGATCTGCTGCCGCCACTTCGGCAGCCACTTTGATCTAACGCCGTCGTCTATAGTTTAGTTCTATGTTAACCCCTCTGCGCATTGGTTGCATATCGATCTCGCATAAAGTTTATCTGGCAATAGCAAGCAATCCGCTTCCGCTAAGCCACCAAGATTAAATACGAATTATAAAGTTTAACCCAAAATCTCTTTTCATCTTGAAACACATAGGTGCCAAAAAAGCTTGGCATCTCAAACATTGGTGACCCCGACGTGATATAAAACCATTGCTTAATCGCGTTCCGTTAAAACACTTATTAATTATTAATTATTATTATTAAAACACTTACAGCCGCGGTTCTTGACTTTTCGTGTCTTGCATTCTCGCTCTCGCGTCTATACATCGTCGCTTAAGCGGTATTTCATTTTCCGTTGTTGTGTCGATTGCACAACGGCTAACATGGACAACGATCCAAATACAGGCGCGGGCGGAAATATTGTGGTGGCTGATTCCAGACTGAGTCTGTATAAACGTAAAAGTCAGTCATTATATGATCGATTGCACAGGCTTGGCGAATCCTTCGCGGGGAATAAAATCGATAAGCTGACCGCCGCGGAAGTCGAGGTGCGCCTTGATATGTTGGCAG